GGAGATGGGGAGATGGGGAGATGGGGAGATGGGATGGGCATGGAGATGGGCATGGGGACATGGGGACGTGGAGATGGGGACATGGGGAGATGGGGAGATGGGATGGGGATGGAGATGGGGAGATGGACATGGGGACATGGGGCGGGCATGGAGAGATGGAGAGGGCATGGGGACGTGGAGATGGGATGGGCATGAGGGCATGGGGATGTGGAGATGGGGACATGGAGATGGGGACATGGGGTGCGCATGGGGACGTGGGCATTGGGAGAAGGGATGGGCATGGAGATGGGGAGGTGGGCATGGGGAGATGGGGACAGAGGGATATGGGGACACAAGGCGGACATTGGGAACATGGGATGGGCATGGGGACATGGAGATGTCATGCCATCCCATCCCATCCCCATCCCCATCCCCATCTCCATCTCCATCCCCATCTCCATCTCCCCATCCCCAAGGGACATGGAGACCCTCTGGAGATGTGGCAGTGGCAGGAGGACCTCCTGGGGACATGGGGACCTTCTGGGGATGTGGCAGTGGCAGGAGGACCCCAAGGGACATGGGGACCCTCTGGAGATGTGGCAGTGGCAGGAGGACCTTCTGGGGACATGAGGACCCTCTGGGGACGTGGCAGTGGCAGGAGGACCTCCTGGGGACATGGGGGTGGCAGGAAGATTCCAAGGGACATGGGGACCTTCTGGGGACACGGGGGTGGCAGGAGGACCCTCTGGGGACATGGGGCCACCAGGAGAACCCCAAGGGGCCATGGAGATGCCAGGAGGACCCAAGGGGACATGGAGGCACATGGACCCCAAGGAGATGTGGTGACACCAGCTGGACCCCGTGGGGCTGCACCCCCCCTCCTTGAGGAGGACCCAAGCCCTTCCCTCCCCCCCCCCATGGCCCTGGTGGGTCCCCGTGTGCGTGTCCCTCAGAAGCCCTTGATGTGACAATAGGCTTCCAGGCTGGCGAAGAGGATGTAGAGGAGCCAGAGGCCGAGGAAGAGGCCGGCGGTGAGGAGTTTGGGGGTGCGGGGCCCCCCCAGCTCGCCCCCGATGTGGGGCCGGCGGCGGTACATGAGGACGCTGATGCAGACGAAGGCGAAGATGGTGAAGAGGGTGACGGAGAAGGCCAAGGTCCCCGTCTGGACCTCGAAGTCCCGGCCTTGGGCCGCCCAATAAATGGCGGCCACCGACCAGGCCACCCCCAGCCCCAGGAAGACGTTGACGGCGTTGGAGCCCGTGACGTTGCCGATGGAGGCGTCGGCGCACTGGTCCTGCAGCGCCGCCACCTTGCTGGCGAAGGTGTCTGGGGGGTGGGGGGTTGGTGGGACGTGAGGTGGGCGTGGGGACACGGGGACGGGGAGGTGGGATGGGGGTGGAGATGGGGAG